CAGTGTTCTGTTGCATTCAGCTTCCAGAGCCGACCTGCCTTCCTGGGGAAGCCAAACCTTGCACTCACCTTCAGCATCACTACCCTGTGTCCCTGTGTCTCCGAGCCAGAACTCTGCTGGACATGAGGAGCACAGACTCTTGATCCCTTGGCTTGGAATGTGCCTCCAGACGGGATGTGCATTCATTCTGTGCAAGTCATACCAGGCCCCTCAAAAAGCCCTCCCTGCATTTTGCACAGGGTACAGTTGCTGCAGACACACAGAAACACAAACTGCAGGGTACAGAGTTTGCTCAAACAAATCTCCCTGGTCACCCTTTTCTGAACTAAAAGCTCATTGCCAATCATATTCTACCACTTAAAATGCCTGGACATATGGATGAATCCTAATTATGGGAATAAAATCCATGGACGTACAAATAAGCAACGTTATTCTTCATATAAATGACACTAAGTGTGCACAGTTTACTCCTTTGCCAGGCAGAAACTGGAAACTACAGACATTTAAATGTTCTAGCTGCTGTCCCTAAAAATATACTGATAATAGAAGGGAAAAAAATATCTTTAAAAAACCTCCAACAAGGAATTCATATGAATGAATTCATCTGTAGTTAGTGGATTAGGCACCTCCAAAGGCACAGTGGGATATAACAATATATAACTTTATATGAATATGGAAATCAGATGCCTGGGTTATAAAAAAGCATGTTTGTGTAATGAACCCTTTGACATTTCTCAGCATTGCCCTGTTTATTGTGGCCACCTTTGCTCTAGAGCTGCAATTTTGCCAGGCCAGGGTGCCTCAGAATATTGAATAACTCACAGGGCTTTGATGTGCAAGAATGCTTCTTTAATCATAGCAATAAAGAATGTGGCTTCTGCTTCTAAAGTTCTTCTTAAATGGGGATGTAACTTCTTATAATAACTTAGACATATCAGAGCAAAGATAACCTCAACAAAAAGTGCTAAATATTAATTAAACTTCCATCTTGATCCAATCCAACGGTCGATTGTGAGGAAATAATTCTTGTAACTGTGAGACAGAAAAGTTTCTAATTCTAAAAGTAGGATAAACACTACATTTTGTTCCCTCCCAGCAGAGGTGGACACACGTAAATGGCCTGTTGGGAACGGCCTCAGGAATATCCTGCTTGCTCAGCCGTGACCTTTTGGACTGTCTTTGGAGGCAACTCACCAGTCAGCTCTCTGAGACACGAATCACAACATGACTCAGACCTGTCACTTCTTTTCATCTCCCTTCCAGCTGCTGGAAGAATTAAATGCAGATAGCAGATAAGTACAAATCTGTTAACATCCCAGTCCCACCCCGGTTTTACACCGAGAGCAGCGCTGGATGATTAATCTGATGCTGTTTGGGACAGGCTGCAAATCAGAGAGCTGCAAACCCCTGTTTGTCACAGCAGGGGAAAGAGTGGCTGGAGTGGGACCATCCTGATGTCCAGGCAAGGCTGAGCAATGCTGACAGCTGATCAAAACATCCACACCAGCCACTCTGAGGTGGGCACTGAGGGATGTCCTGTCTGCTGACCAGGGCCGAGGGAATTGTTGTGGGGAAATCATACAGGAGAACCAACAGTTTGTTTTACCGCTTTCCTTTCTGTCAAGACTGCTAAAGGTCTTTGCTACAGCACTGTCACAAATCATTTTTTGCCTGGTTGGTTTAGGAACAGGAAGAATTTCCTGAGCAATCTTCTTGTCCTTGACTAAAATGCCCACAAGCAAAGTACATGAAAGACACACTTCAAGTCATAAATTAAACTGAAGACCAGGATTTCATATGGTATCAACATTCAGCCCACCTTCACGTGTACCCTGGTGGGACTGCCCGTTTGCTGAGGGCTTAATTTCTGTAAAAAAAAATCAGTACTAATGTCTCTCAGCAGCATCTCTTAGATGAACAGGATTATACAGTTCAGCCTGTGTGCTCAGAGTGCTGAACACAGACTACTTTGGGTCAGACCTCTGAGAAAAAGGAATAAAACCCAAGGTGAAAATGGCACAAGGGAGCCTGCACACAGTGGAGAGAAGGCAAACTATGCAAAGTGGACTAATATACAGCTGGGGGAATTATATAGAGCATTTCCATCCCATCCCTCTTCTCTGAATATGAAAGTCAAACTCGCCATTTTGCTGGACAGAGTGGGGACAGGGGAAGTATATTGGGGGCACACCAATAATTCATATTTACCCTGGTAAGGGAACAAGAAAAAGATGAGCTATGCAGATCTCTATGTCCAAGGAGGAAAATTCTGGCTAGAAAAGGAGATTTTGAAGCATTTGCAAGACAAATGAATTGAGCAAGTGGATTCTGTGGCTCTGTGGTGCTGAGGAAAAGCAAAGATGGGCTGTCAGGAGGGGTCCAGCCCAAGGAGGCAGGAGGAGCTGGGAAGCCAAATCCAGTGACAGCTGGAAAGGACAATACAACCACATGAGGAATCCCAGGAGGGCAGAACTGTAAGAAATGAAAATTTAAAGAAAAGCTATAGGGTTTTAAAAATGTTGATTTAAACCCAGTATATAATCCCACACAGCTGACACTGCTGGTATCAAATAAACAACCAGACTAAGCTCACCATGCCCCCATCACACCAGAGGACCCAAAAGTAGGGCTTCCTCTCATTGCAGTGAATGGTGCTTCTGTTTCCCACTAAGTGAAAAACACAGCCTGATTGAAAGATTCCTTTGCAAATGCTATCATTATTTTAAATCCTCTGGGTCAAATTCTTTTTGGATGCGAGTAAATACTGAGTAATAACAATTTACACTGATCCTGTAAGAAATAGTGAAGGAAAAGGGGTTTAGCTATAACCTGTGAAGGCAGGGTTTTTTCACAACATCAGAGGAAAGCTATTGCTGCAGAAAGGTTTTTAAAGATTCTTGTAGCCACAACATGAAAACTACTTCTCTATAGCATTCAAACCCTTCTACTGCACTATTAAAGATAATACCACATAAATACAACTTAATCCAGGCATCCAAACTGCCTTCTGCAACATATGTATGATCTTTCCATTTTTATACACAACAAATCTGATAAACAGAGATTATATAAAGAGAAGGAACTGGAGTATTACAGCATGAGTATAGCACAGACTAGTTTCCTTCTTTTCAAGTAATCCCAACTTATGCAGCCAGAGGAGTCTAATAATGAAAAAAAAACCCTGACTTCCTTTAGGAAACAGAAAACTATTCATATTAAAAAGTAGCATATTTTACTTTGATATTTTTAAATGTTTAATTTTCTAAAAGCTCTGTATCACAAAAGGGACTGAATTTCTGCTTTATTTTTCCTTTTTTTTTTTTCAAATATACTGCCACTATCTCTGTTCTCAACAGCTCTGCCAGCCTGAAAAAGAAGAATGAAGAAGATAAGGAAGAACAGAAATAGAAATATCCGTTAGGATTAGGAGTAAAAACAAAATGTAAGAAGTATTTAGGACAAAATTATCACAGATAACAAAACTCTTGGATGCCCAGTCCTCTGGGAGATGGGCATGGGGAGCAGCAGAGTGTGCAAATGTTGGTGCTGCAACCAGAAAACACAATCCACAGGGCAACAGAAAAAGCAGATTTGTGAGAAAAGAGCTGTAAAGACCTATATTCACACTTAGAAAAGTGTGATGATTCAGATGCTGACAGCCACTTGAAAGACAATCCTGAAGAACAGCACCAGCTTCCTTGTGAAGGCTTTCTGTCAAAGTTTCAAGTGCTTTGTTTACTCCTCTAAGCAAGTGGATAACCCTGAGAAACACAGAACATATACATGCATTTACTGAGTGAATGTCCTGCAACATAAAAATAATTGAAGTAATAATCCTGTGGCCCTCTAAATAGCTATCCTCTGTATTTCTTGCATGTAATTAAACCCAAGGAAATAATGCTGATTATTTGGCTGCAAGATGTCATGCTGAAAGGACCAGAACAGGGAGGGGTGACATGCAATTCCAACAGGACAAGACTATGCAGGGGCACTCTGCTAGTGCAGACCACTGGAAAAAACCTGGCACTGGGGAGGTGGCTGTCACCATGTACAGGCAGGAGTAGCAAAATGAAGGCTCTTAGGAAGGGAAGGGTCTGCAGCACAAAGCTATTTCAGTAACCTTCCAAAGTTGCCATCACAATTGTTCTCACAGAGTTCTCTCACAAAAGTTTTCTGGTAACTTTCTAGTTTATTTATAACGCAAAGTGATTAAAACCAAGTGAGTGTGTATAAACAGTGGAAAATCTCATCAACAGTTGGGTCCAGACGTCCAGAACGGGCACTAACAAGAGCCAAAACAGAGTCCTATGGCCACCTGTGAGGGGCATCAGGGAGGCAGGAACAGGTCCCTGAAGCCGTGTGGTGGCTTCAGGGAGAAATTTCACCTCGTCCTTCCTGGCTTTCTTCAAGGAGCTGGAGAAAGTGCCACCACACGTCATGTGTGCAGGCAGTAAGGTACGGGAGGAGCTTGGAATGGGAGTCCATGTGCTGCCTTAACGGAGTGCAGGGTGTGAGATGGGAGCACTGTCACTCTGTTACTGGCTGCATGGTTGTTTCCAGGCTTTGCTGGACTGCTCTGAGAGGCCACAACCATTCCCAAGGCCCTTGCAGGGAGTCCAAACAAGGCTGGAATGAAATACCACTCCGTCCAAAGCCCAGGAGGCACATGAAGCTTCTTCATGACAGAAAATTGCATTCATCTATTCAGGACACAGAACTGTTGTGTGACAAGTGTGGCCAACCTCAGTGCTTGGGAACAGGGTCTTAGGGATTGTCCCTTCACCAGCATCAGGTTCCCTGCTCCTCGTGGCACTTGGTGTTCACCAGACAGCTCTGAGCAATGTGGAGAGGTCAGGAACTCTGCAACCCAGACAACCATCACGATAGGGCAATTTCTTTGGAAATGGGATATTAAGTAGTGCTCCCTGCTCTCACAGCCTTGCCATCTGGTGAGTAAAGGCCAGGGTTTGCTCTAATTATCTCTCTCCATCTGCACAAACCAGGACCTACAAAATTTCCTACAGACCCACTTCAACCAGAACATCTGTTTGTGCTCTGCCTGGAAATTAAAGCCTGAGAAAGGGGCTCCACTTGGTGTCGTGGAAGATGTGGGTTTCACTCATCACACACTCAAATCTAAATTCCTCCAGGGCTTTGCTGACTGCCAGAACAAGCCCCTGAGGAGAGAGATTTACACCAGTGTGCTGAGAGCAGAATCAAACCCCGGATTTATTACTCGCTAGCACAGAGCAGAAATGCTAAAGTACCACTCGATCCCTCCTCCTCCTCCTGGACGAATCTCTATCCTCCGGTATATGAAAAATGCATTTCACCGCTCCACATAATAATTCTTGTTGGGACTAAGCCGTGACGCCTCCCCCCAGCCCGGCCGAGCCTCCCGTGTGCTGCAGTGGTCGCCGAGGTCTGCCGAGGACGGTGGCGGCGGCAGCAGCAGCAGCATCTGTCCCTGTCCCTGCCGCCCGCTGAGTTCTCCTGCCCATCCTACGGGAGCGGAGGACAGCGAGTCTCGCAGCCTGCAGGTGTCTCCCGGCGGAGGAGGCTGCGGAGCCCCTTGGGATCATGTGTGGTACCCGAGCAGATGTTCACTCGCTCCTGGTGCTCTCTGCGAGGCAGACCCTCTGCGATCCCGTCAGCGCTCTGAAGCTCCCCGGGTCCGGGAGGACGGCCACGCTCCCGCTCCTGCAGCTGCTCCTTTAACGTACAAAGGCAGGATTTCAAGTGAAGGGAAGAATGGGAGTCTGGCTGCAGCGTTTCCTTCACCGCTACAACAGCAGATTGGGAGAAGCTGAGAGTTTTGGTGCCTGGACAACTGGATTCTGAATCGTGAGAGGCTTTGAAAGCCCCCCCTCTCCCAAATAAAACAAACCCCTTTGACTTCTTCTCTCAGCAGGAGGGGGAGGGAGGGCGGATTTACCATGAAGACAAATCGAAGATGCAGAGCCCTGCTAGCAGTGAGTCTGAATCTGATGGCTCTCCTCTTCTCTACAACAGCTTTTATCACGACCCACTGGTGTGAGGGCACACAGAGGGTCCCCAAGCCGAGCTGTGGGAAAGAGAAGAAGACAAACTGCCTCAACTACGGCGGGAATGAGACTGCGAATGAGACGAACCAGAATGTGGTTCATTACAGCTGGGAGACGGGAGATGACCGCTTCCTTTTCAGGTATTTCCACACCGGGATCTGGTACTCCTGTGAGGAAAATATCAATGCTGCTGGTAAGTATAAAACAACTTCCTTGCAGCTTGTGTAGCTCCGTGTTTGCCTCAGTGCGATAGACACACAGGCTGCTCTGTGCTGTGTCTTAGAGCAGATTCGCCCTGCAGAGAGAGGCAGGATTTTAATAGTTCTTTGTTGAAAAGCAACCTGTTTCCAGCCAGAGCAAGGATTTTGCTTGTTCACCTCCTGGCTGGTGCAGGGTCTGTGCTCTCCAGCCCGCCGAGCCCCCGAGCAGCGGTGTGTGTTCCCCTCATGGGCGCTGCAGCCGGGCACTGGCCAGCGCTTCCCTTCGAGCTGCTCCATGGAGCGCACAAAAGGCAGCGGCCGGGAGTTGTTAAGGAGGTTCCGACATCTAATTCTAATTGCCCCGAGGACAGTGGTCTGAACGGCAGGGAAAGCACAGAGGTCACAGTTTTTATCACGCTGTAGCCTAGACTGCCTCTTTCCTGGCATCCCTTTAGGAAGTGACCACCCGCAAGCCCTTCCTGGATGGTTTGTTTATTGAAGCAGAGAAATGGCAGTTAAAGGGCACAATTGGGCACAAGAAAGATTTTTTCTGTTCCCTGCTCAGCCGTTTACTCACTGAGAACCACTCAAAAAGACATCTCTCCAGCTTATCGGTGCATTTGTTTGCTCTGCTGTACCCTGGCACTTACCAAGAAATAAAACACTGGAGGGTGGATGGCAGGCAGCTGCCATGGGACCCATGGAAGTCTCAGCAGATGCAAACTGACAGTCCCTGCACCCAGAGCTGTCTGGTAGAGCAAACATCCAAACTCTGCTTCAGAAAGAGCTCTTTTCTAGATTATGTGACTGAAAAATAAAGTTTGAAAATGTGACACAGTACGAGACGATGGATTGTGGATACTGGTTCTTTGCTGGGCTGTCTCCATCCTATCCTGCCATTGCCCAAGGAGTAGACTGGGGAGCTGGTCCTTCACCACTGCTGGGAGAGAGGAGCAGTTAATATCCTACATCTCTGAGGACACATCCTCTTGGTAATGGGAAGTTTATGAGATCCTGGCAAAAGTGCTCTGTAGGGATGTACTATAAAGTGGGGCAAATTTGGGCAGGTGCTCACAGCCCGCTCCATCCCACAGGGCTGTGTGTTACATATTCTCCCTGGTATTTTTGAGGATAGTGCTTCAAGAATTAGCTGGTCATTAAAACTCAATTTAATATAAGAAAAGGAAAGTTCATGAACTCCAGCCCTGAGACTGTCAATAAACAGCTCCATGCTGAAATGAGGGCACCAAAGCAACCCTCTTGATGTTAGGAAAAAAAAAAAAAACACAGACAAAGGATGATTTATCTTACTTATTTGGGAATCAACTTAGGCCACAGCAGCCTGAGTGAGCAGCTTAAGACTCTCTGGCTTTTCGAGCATCTTAGCTGGAATTGGTACAATCAAGCCTGCCCATATTTCTAGCAGATATTGAAATCTTTCCAAGCCAAGATGTATGTGTGAGATAAGTTGTAACTGTGTGACTCTAGCCCACTCAGAAAAGTGAGTTATCTGTGGGAGAAGAGAAATACAGTGATCTATTCTGTACTGGGTAAACAAAGCTGTGCTGGAGTGGGTGATTTCAGGAGAGAGCTGGAAGCCAGCTTTAGAAAGTTATGTTGAAAGCAGGAGGGAAGGGGTTGTTTCTCCCTCCCCACACCACCACAGCAGCCATATGTGTGTTTCCTCTTACTTGAAACACTAACTTGGGGAAAAGTACTCTTGAGTTAGCAGACCAGGAGGGACCAACCTTTGCAAATAATCCAGGCAGGCACAGGGATATATTGCCTTAGACAGACAGCTGCCTCATTCAGATTTACTATAATTTTTTTTCTGGTAAAAACAGGAACAATGTAATGGACACAGGTCTAAATTTGTCCCTAATCGTGTCAACACAAAATAACTGACAGGTTTTCATTCAGAGTTACAGGTTTGTAATACCAGACTGTCAGGATGTTGTCATGGCCTTTTGCAGCCTGACTGGTGATCATTTTATCTGAGGCACCACCCAGCCCCAATCCAACAGCACAGTGGTCATGCTTGTATGTACAGCCACCCCCCTCAATATATCTGTGAGTAATCCATCCCATGGGCTCATCACACCATCCACAGCACACTTACTGACCCCAGTGCTGCGGGTATCACAAGTCATACACTCACCATGTGTGTATTAAATAGTACTGTATTACTTGTATTAAATACTAGTGTATTTAGTTAGCCAAAATCCCCAGCTTGAATGCACTGTATACTGTCAATAAGATCTTTCTTAGAGCTTTACCAAAGCACACTGAGAGTGACTGCACCAGCAGCCTTCCTCCAGGCAAGGTCCTTTCAGCAGTCACTCGCAGCCTCACACCTCTGTCAGCAGAACATATGGCCACAGTCTCTGGTCAGCACCATTCCCACAGCTCCCATCCTATCCCTGGTTCCTCACTGACTCACTGATGTCTGAAGTTGAGCAGTGTGAGTCCCACCAGGCGCATGTGAATGCCAGTAACTCTCCCTGTGATCGTGATGCTGTCAAAACTATCCAGAGCCTCCAAACTTTCCCAGCTGTGAGCCACATTCTTCATCCAGCCACCAACCAGGCTTTTGATTTCTCTCTCCCTCCAGTCACACCATCAAAACTTTCTGCTCCCTGCCCTGGTGCAGCTGCAACACAGCAGATCTTGTAGTGCCAACACAACAGGACCAGTTCCCAGCAGGTTGATGCTGCAGGAACTCCAGGAACAGGACTCCAGGGCTTCCAGTTGGCTGGAGGGGCTGGGACACAGTCACACCTTAAAATGACGTTCAGGCTGCAAGCAAACCAATTTTTGAGTGTCTTCTCCTTCCCCTTGTTTATCTGCAATGTGCATTTAGATTCCAGAGGCTGAGGTGCAAGCAGCATGTCATCCACTTTGTGCAGAGCCCAGCGGAGCGTGCCCTCCTCTTGTTGCCAGCTTCTAGTTTTCACTGACAGCTCTAACAGAGATTGAATGCTGTGATTATTTCTGAAATAATTTGTGAATCTAGAGTTTATTTTTATCCAGCATGTCTAGGACAGCTAAAGAATTCAAAAAGCATTTAGCACCTGAGAAATGTAATTGTGAATCTCCTCTGGGAACAGAGGGACTGGAGCGTTCATATTTCGTTGGTGGGGGAGTCCTGTGATTATTTAGCACAATTTCTGACTCAAAAGTGTGCTGAATCCACGTCTACCAAAAAGAGAACAAGGTTTCCCCTTTCAGAGTGGGTTTAGTGCTTTGGGTGCTACACAGGTGGAGGTACCTTCTGTAGGAGAAACTCATCTAAGCTTGGAAGGGAATGAAGCTAAAGCACATCCTACAAGCTCTGCTGGTCATGAGTCCTGTTCTGCCCTCACACACTGCACTTGAGGCCTCCTCCTGGCTCTGAATTCCTTGGCCATGGCCAGAGCCAAGCTCACTATCACTTAATTTCTGTTTGAGTGTGATTTTGAGTGTGTATCCTATTGGACAGTTGCAGTCTGGGGCTGTGCTCGGGCAGTGCAGGGCACCCCATGGGATCCCAGAGCAGTGAGGTACCAATAGCAGCAGTGCTGAACCAGCTGGTGGATCCCATGACTCAAGAATACACACACCATGAAAAAATTACCACATGAAGTAGGTAAGGTGGTAGATGGTATCCTAAGAGGTAGAGGAGTTGGAGAGCTGGGAAACAATAAGAAGTCAGATAGTTTCACTCAATAATGTGTTTGCTTTGATGTTAGTAAAAAAACCCACCATGAACTCTTGATTTAGTTGCCAATGAACAGGCAATCTCAGTATTAACATACACAACTAAGGGGAGAAGCAGCTGCCTAGTTGCCTTTCAAGAGCACTGTCCCATTAAACAAACAGCCTTTCCATCCTGCTCCTGCTCTCCATAGCAGTCAGAAGAGCAGGAATGGGTACATGTGGCTTGTTTTGTGGTTTTGGATTGATTTTCGAGGGCAAAGGGGCCTGTAGCTCTTTGTATGCTCTGTGCCAAATATTCCTTAGCACTCTTGAAGGAGTAAATGGTAGATAATGGAATTTAGATGGTAGGTAAAGATGCATCAAAATGAGCCATAATTATGGACATTAAGTGCACCTTGAGAAGGAAGCAGAGAAGGAGAGGGTTGTATCCTGCAGAAATGAGTAAATCTGTGACATATAAAGACCAGAACTTGGCATACCCTTTTAACAGCTCCAGAGTGGTTCTGCATCACCTTCTCCCCCACCCCCCTGTGATAATAAGCATATCACAGTGATTCACTGCAGGTGGCTGTCCAGAGAGGGACCAGGAGAAGCACCTCATGAGTATGTAATTAAAAGCAAGAGGAACTGGGAATTCTTGCTGGATTATGAGAAATACGATATAATTGGCATGACTGAAACCTGGCAGGTTTATTCGCCTGACTGGAATGTAAAAATTGCTAGTTCTAAATTGTTAGGAAGGAAAGAGTGGTAAAAGGAATTGAGGAGGTAGAGCTCTATATTAAAGATAAAATTTCCAGCACTAGAGGAACTGAACCCAGGGGGCCTGGATAATCTCCATCTGAGGATGTTGAAATAATTGGTACATGAAAATGCAGGTTTAATAGAAAGAATCTGTACATCACTGTATTTAAAGAAGACTGGAAAAAAAGTGATACAGGCCACTTGACCCAGGAATCTTAGGACAGTTTTCAGGGAAAGCACTTAGTGCATGGCAACAAATGGGTTTTATCAAAGGTAGGGCTTTATTGAAGGTAAATCTTTTAACAAGATGAATCACTTCTTAGACAAGGGTAATGGATTAGACCCAATCCCTGTGGATTTACAAAAAAGTGTTTGATGGAAATGTCCCAGTGCAAATTCTTTACAGAAGAGCTACAGAGACTGGAGAGGATGGTAAGAACACAGTGACAGATGCAGGGATGCTTCCACACTGGGGAGTGCTAAACTGCCTGAGCCACTTCAGGCTGGAAGGAAGGCACAAGGTACAGAGAGATGTGATATTGGAGGGGATCAA